ATCATCATCCTCTGCCTCAACCCCTGCACCTCCATGTGGGATATAAGGATCTCTAGACCCATTACCAGCTTCATGTTCAGAGGCACTCTCATTTAGCCTCAAACCCAAGCTTTGGCTATCTGACGAAGCGCTCGATGCTGCTGCTGATGCTTCCCTTCCCAGTCCACGCCTAGTTTCGGAGTCCTTCTCGCCAAGGTCAGTGATCTCAGTCACAATTGAATCCAACCAAGGATTGTTTGACAATGGCAAAGGCTGTGAAATGGCTTCAGCTGGAACATAACAAACCCTCTCTTCATCTCCTGAGCATGTCAAAGAGAATGGAAGTTCAGGAGGAGGATCAAGGCCTGTGGTGATTGACTGAACTGACCTAGGCACATGGAAATCAGGCTGAAACCAAAAATTCCCAGCACCCAATTGGCCTAAACTCAAACCATCACCACCTTCATCCCCTTTGCCATTATCAAAGCAACCCTTTTTTCTCTTTGCTCTGTTTATGCAAGACTCATCATCATCCACTGAGCCCTGCTCTGCAAACCTCTTCAAGCTCTTACCTCTCTTCTTCTCCCAAAACTGATCATTAACCTCCTTTCTCGCCTCCACAAACGCCGCCGTCTGAGATGCACTTGTCACAGGACCGCTGGTAGCCAGAGGAGGCAGCCTGATGCTCTGCTTCAGAGAACAACTGCTGGTCTTCGAATCGATCGATTTCTCCACCGAAAGCCCCACAGGCCTAATGGGTTGTGACCTGGAGGTGTCTTTCCGAGGAAAGCTGCATGGTAAGTCCAATCTCTGTGTGCTCATTGCTGGTAACTGGAAATGGCAAGCTTGTAACTGTGCTGCTGCTTCACTCCTCAATCTATGCCTTGGTGACAACAATGTGGAACTAGAGCACCCAGCCAACATCCTCTATGATGTTCCAATTTTGGTTTTTATCTTGGTTAATGTTTGTGCAACTAAGATTCACCCACCCAATGTTTTTTCTTTCTTTCTTCTTTAACTCCCTAGCTATCTCTTCTTTTGGGTTTCTACAGCTTAAAAATGTGAAAGAATGGTGTTTTGTGCAGAGAATTTCTATGATCTTTTGAATGAATATGTGATTGAAAGAGAAATCCAGAGAGATAGGCTATGTGAAACTATATGTGAGTGTGTGAAAGAATATTTCTACAGAAAAATCTGAATAAAAACAATAGGAATCCGATGAGTGAATAAATCAATCAAAAGGTGTGTATAAGTTTGAGTGTTCCTATATGTGTGTTTTTATGCAAGAAAGAATCAAAGAAACAATCAGAGTATATGCTAAGAACCCAACCCCAGAAAAGAATGAAAGAATTTGAGACTAATCAAAGAATAAATTCCTACAAGAACAAGATCATCGGATTCCAAAACGTTCAAAGAAAGCTCATTGGGAAAAGCAGTGATTTTGTTTCACCATGGAGCTAAAAACAGAGTGATAGGGAAGAATGCAGATACATACAAGCTCAAACTGGTGGATCAAACTCTGAGAAATTTTCAGGCCCAGATCAGCATTTGGAGCCTCCATGAAGATCACCACCATGGCTGAAGCAGAACCAGAAGCAAAACCCAGAAGCCCTTTAAATGTGCATGCATGAAAAAGCTGATGATCAAACAACAACAAGAAGCAGACAACTCTCTCCTTAGCTAAGCACTCTCACTCTCTCTCTCTCTCTCTCTCTCTCTCACAACCCAAAGAAACCAAAAACCATAGAACCCTTCTGTTTTTATATACTATAAGCCTTTTATTTCTGCCCCCCCCCCCCCCCCTCTCTCTCTCTCTCTCTATCTCTCTCTCTCTCTCTCTCTCTAGACCACATGGGTTTTTTTCTTCTTAATTTAATTTAATTTATTTAACTTGAGTGACTGATTTGATTCACCAGCATTGAAAAATTGAGGGGTGAAAAGGGTGTTGGAAAAGACTTCAGGAGGGGAGTTGGGTTTGTGGGCCGTGGGATTTTGATCAGAGGGTGGAGAGTGGTGGGCTATATGACCGTTGGGGGCTTGTCGGTGAAATATGACCGTTGGGAGGGCGTAGGGGGGTCGGTCGTGTACGGAAGGGGGGTTTTTTTCTTTCTTTTTGGGTAGTCTGCTGATATACACGTAGGCCGCACGTGCCTGTCTGCTGCCTTTCCTGCCTTCGGTTCTCTCGACCGTTCGGTTGCTTCATCATTGGGCCTTTTGGCTTTGTTTAATTTTCCCCTTAATTAAGTATGCTTAACTTCCTTAACTTCTTTCATGGGCCCTCTGGCCACACAGATTTATGCCACGTGGTGCCAAAACCACTCATACCTTATTTTCTTCGTTTTTCCTTTTTTCTCTCTAAATAAGCACTATACTAAGCTGTCTGTTTCACGTGCCAACCCTCACACTTACTAACACAATATTGGACTCGTTCAAGGATGAAGAAAACTTTGCGAAAATAGCTTAAGTGACCAATAACAGTTACTCATGATTTAGGTCATAGGCTCGAAGTTCCCACCTCAATATTATTTGTATATAAAATAAAAAAATTAGCCTAATCCATGTAAGTTTGCACGCGGTGTATACGAAAGCTAGTAAGACTCATGATATGGTGGGATGAGAGAGAGTTGGGAAAAAGAACAAAGACATCAAGTACATGGACGTATGGAGAGCAAGGCAAATAAATGTTACTAGAATCTCCACTTGCATAGAAATGGTACAAGCGTAGGAGTAGTTGGTTTGGCTTTTACCAAGCCATATCATTGATCTAGTTGAAAGAAAATCATTCCCAAATATGCCTTGAACAAAATTGGATCCGTATAGGCTATGATTCTGCTAACTCCCAAGAACTCTTTTGATTTGAAATGAAAAAAGTAAAAGTGTAAAAAAAAGACTGTTAAAGTGTTGTTGCTAAAACCAAAAACACATCAGCAAAACGAACTTGCTGCGAAGGCGAGGCTGGGAACCTGGAAACAACGATCATATTCTCCCACACCGAAAGTATAATGTCTTATGGCCCTTTCGTTTTACCCTTTACCCTTTACTTTCTACCTATTCTACTTTCTACTTTCTAGAAGATTTTGGATGCAGATTTTAAAATTTTGTTTTTTCAATTGGAAAAATAAGATAAATCAGTCTTGGGAACAGATTTCCATTTTCGGGTAAATAACAATTCACAGTATGAACAACATAACAAGTCATGTAGTGTGAAATAAAATGTGATGGAATTTTATTTCTTTCTAGAAGATTTTGGATGCAGATTTTAAAATTTTGTTTTTGTCAATTGGAAAAATAAGATAAATCAGTCTTGGGAACAGATTTCCATTTTCGGGTAAATAACAATTCACAGTATGAACAACATAACAAGTCATATAGTGTGAAATAAAATGTGATGGAATTTTATTTTATTTTAGCAGATACTTTTATTTATTAATTTTATAGGAAAGATTCAACTACTGGAATTGGAAATTTCAGCCCTACCCTCAATCCTGGTTTGTAATTCCCAATCCTCTTATTCGTCATCGGGTAAGCTCGAATTGGCTCGAGCTTCTTAGCTGCATATGAACTGGCTCGAGCTTCTTAGCTGCATCC